TCTTGTATCCAGCGGATACCATTTTTGTTTATTTTTGGTCAATTGGCTTTTTAAAACTTGCAAGTGCCTCGCATTAATCTTCTACGACGTACTACTACCATCTACTCGACAAATTCTAACATTAATCTACAAATTCTGCAAATGCCACATTGAGGATCGCATAGTTTCATTTCAGTTTCAGTATCCAGCGGATACGATTAGTTCTGTATCCAGCGGATACCATTTCTTGTTCATTGTGGGTCAATTGGCTGTTTAAAGCTTCCATTTCAGTTCCAGTATCCATCGTTTAGGATTAGTATTGTATCCAGCGGAAACGATTAGTCCTGTATCCAGCGGATACCATTTTTGTTTATTTTTGGTCAATTGGCTGTTTGAAACTTGTAAATACTACGCATTAATCTTTTACGACAAATTCTACCATTACTCGACAAATTCTACCATTAATCTACAAATTCTACAAATGCCACATTGAGAATCGCATAGAGTTTCATTTCAGTTTCAGTATCCAGCAGATACGATTAGTACTGTACCCAGCGAATACGATTAGTTCTGTATCCAGCGGATACGATTCCTGGTTGATTGTGGGTTAATTGGCTGCTTAAAGTTTCCGTTTCAGTTCCAGTATCTATCGTAGAGGATAAGTCTTGTATCCAGCGGATACCATTTTTGTTTATTTTTGGTCAATTGGCTTTTTAAAACTTGCAAGTACTACGCATTAATCTTCTACGACAAATTCTACCATTACTCGACAAATTCTACCATTAATCTACAAATTCTACAAATGCCACATTGAGGATCGCATAGAGTTTCATTTCAGTATCCAGCGGATACGATTAGTCCTGTACCCAGCGGATACGATTAGTTCTGTATAGCGGATACCATTTCTTGTTCATTGTGGGTCAATTGGCTGTTTAAAGTTTCCATTCAGTTCCTGTATCCAGCGGATACGATTATTCCTGTATCCAGCGGATAAGATTAGTCCTGTATCCAGCGGATACCATTTTTGTTTATTGTTGGTCAATTGGCTTTTTGAAACTTGCAAATACTACGCATTAACATTCTACGACAAATTCTACCATTAATCTACAAATTCTACAAATGCCACTTTGAGAATCGCATATTAAAATCGTTTAAAACCATGCAGTGCCTCATAAGAGAATCTTTTGTTAAAATCGTTTAAAAACATGCAGTGCCTCATTAGAGAATCTTTTGTTAAAATCGTTTAAAACCTAGCAGTGCCTCATAAGAGAATCTTTTGTTAAAATCGTTTAAAATCATGCAGTGCCTCATAAGAGAATCTTTTGTTAAAATCGTTTAAAAACATGCAGTGCCTCATAAGAGAATCTTTTGTTAAAATCGTTTAAAAACATGCAGTGCCTCATAAGAGAATCTTTTGTTAAAATCGTTTAAAAACATGCAGTGCCTCATAAGAGAATCTTTTGTTGAAATCGTTTAAAACCTAGCAGTGCCTCATAAGAGAATCTTTTGTTAAAATCGTTTAAAAACATGCAGTGCCTCATAAGAGAATCTTTTGTTAAAATCGTTTAAAACCTAGCAGTGCCTCATAAGAGAATCTTTTGTTAAAATCGTTTAAAAACATGCAGTGCCTCATAAGAGAATCTTTTGTTAAAATCGTTTAAAACCTAGCAGTGCCTCATAAGAGAATCTTTTATTAAACTCGTTTAAAAACATGCAGTGCCTCATAAGAGAATCTTTTGTTAAAATCGTTTAAAAACATGCAGTGCCTCATAAGAGAATCTTTTGTTAAAATCGTTTAAAAACATGCAGTGCCTCATAAGAGAATCTTTTGTTAAAATCGTTTAAAAACATGCAGTGCCTCATAAGAGAATCTTTTGTTAAAATCGTTTAAAACCTAGCAGTGCCTCATAAGAGAATCTTTTGTTAAAATCGTTTAAAAACATGCAGTGCCTCATAAGAGAATCTTTTGTTAAAATCGTTTAAAACATAGCAGTGCCTCATAAGAGAATCTTTTGTTAAAATCGATTAAAAACATGCAGTGTCTCATAAGAGAATCTTTTGTTAAAATCGTTAAAAAACATGCAGTGCCTCATAAGAGAATCTTTTGTTAAAATCGATTAAAACCTAGCAGTGCCTCATAAGAGAATCTTTTGTTAAAATCGTTTAAAAACATGCAGTGCCTCATAAGAGAATCTTTTGTTAAAATCGATTAAAACCTAGCAGTGCCTCATAAGAGAATCTTTTATTAAAATCGTTTAAAAACATGCAGTGCCTCATAAGAGAATCTTTTGTTAAAATCGTTTAAAAACATGCAGTGCCTCATAAGAGAATCTTTTGTTAAAATCGTTTAAAAACATGCAGTGCCTCATAAGAGAATCTTTTGTTGAAATCGTTTAAAACCTAGCAGTGCCTCATAAGAGAATCTTTTGTTAAAATCGTTTAAAAACATGCAGTGCCTCATAAGAGAATCTTTTGTTAAAATCGTTTGACACCTAGCAGTGCCTCGTTTGAAAATCTTTTGATAAATCGTTTACTACACATGCATCTCCTACAAAAAACTCTACCATTAATCGACAAATTCTACAAATTCCACATTGAGGATCGCATAGAGTTTCATTTCAGTTTCAGTATCCAGCGGATACGATCAGTCCTGTACCCAGCGGATACGATTAGTCCTGTAACCAACGGATACCGTTTCTGGTTGATTGTGGGTCAATTGACTGTTTAAAACTGGAAAAATACTACACATGCATATACTACGACATATTCTATCATTATACTACACACTTAAACCTTCTGTAAATCTCCAAAGCACTATTCTTTCCCCTAGGGTTTCGACCTTACTCCTTTCACAATATCACCCTTTATATGTAGATAATACCTACTAGGTATATGTAATATGTATGATCAGAGTATCATTAAAGTAATGCTTCTGATGCAGTAAGAAAAAAAATCCCTGAACGCACTGAAAACCAAATAAATATCACACCAGAATAAATTCTCTGATCATAAACAAAAACAGAACCCTATAACTGAAATATGACGAAAGTAAAATGAGGAAATAAACATATTCATAAATAAAACGGATTACGAGAATATAAAAATATTGAAAATATAAATTTCAAAATATATGTATAAGTAAAATTTGAAAAACGGTATAAAGAGTTACATTAACCAAAACAGCAAATACTCACCCCCTTATATAATGCATTACATACATACATAGCTGTGGAATATTTTTCCATTTCCTTGTATTGCATTGTTGTTTTTATTGCTGTAGTGTTAAATATAATTTAATGTTTCTTTTGGGTTATCGTTGTTTTTTCATTCTGTAGCGTTGAATATTATTTTATTTAGTTTTATTGCGATGCACACACACACACACACCTAACACACGCGATTGAAATCAGGAAGCGATTGATATCACTTAAATATATTAGAATATTATTTAATTTTTGTTGTTTTAATTAATTTTATTTTACTATTATTTTATCGAATTATTACATGTTTATTGCAATTATTTATTTTTATTTATTTCAATTTATTTATATGATTTGATTATTTATTTCTTGTTACTATTTATTTATTTGAAATATTTTTTATTATTATCATTTATTATTTTTATTCCTTTCAATTTATTTTAACCGAACTTATTTTCACTCCACTTTTCACTCGACTGGACACACGATTTAGTTACTTATGCGCGCACTCACGACACGAACAGACACGATTTAGTTGACCGATTTAATGACCGCTTTGAATGAGTGACCGGGGGAACTGCAAGCTTCGATAAGAATGAAGCGGCGCGGACGGCTAAAGCTTCGTCGAAAAACGAGAGCGAAATAGGGTGGTAAGGGTGGTAAGGTGGGTTCAGCAGACATCGTGCGCGAGTCAAATCTCGGCTTGTAGATCGGCATTCGTTTCTGCTGTTCTCTTCTCTCACTGATAAAAACGAGAGCGAAAGCTGGTGGCTTAGTGTATGTATATGCATGTAGGTAAGGTCAAGTCCAAATAGCTATGATACGAGCGCAGAGCGTGGAGCTTTTCACGCAGCGCCGGAGAGTCAAAGCTAAACTTTCGACTCTGCTAGTCGCTACTCTCCCTGAATCACAGCAAAGAACGAGAGCATTCTTTATTAACAGAGAAAGAGAGAGAGGGAGGAAGGTAGTTGTTTACTCTCTACTGTTAAATAGTTTCAAAAATCACACCTTCTTACGTACAACATATGAGAAGCGCAGAGAAAGGCGCTGTTAAAAAGTTGTGAGTTTTCAAACTATTTAATTTGAAAATTTTTTGTTGGCACTCAAAACCTTTCGGTGTTTCAGTCACGCCACTAATTGGCGACTCTTGTCCATCACTGTCGCTGAAAAATTAACATGCCGCTGTAACGACACGAGATAATTGGTTCTCTGTTAGCTCACTCTCTTTTTCTTTCTCTGTTAGCTCGCTGCTGAATGCCTCTGTAACTGGCTGCAGAGGTAACATTCCATGACACGTGTTTTCCCATGGTACGCCTGGTACAAATTACAATAAGACTTTGTTAACTATTAAATCTGGCTTCTATGACAATTAAAGCTAGCTGCTATATTCAAAAATATCAACATTAAATTGTACGCCAAAAACCATATCACCTAATTACAAAATCTATTATTATGCATATTTAACATCCCTACCTTCACCTTCAACAAGCAGATAACTCATCCTGGCCTCATTCTCATTCTGGATCAGAGTATCTTCCCAGAGTGCGGACACTATAAATGAATGAACTGGGGCATCCAAAAACTGGAAATTCGGACTCCTGTGATAGCTCCATCAAGGAACTCGATTAGAGTCTGGACAGATGAAAACTCAGAGGGGAATCCTTGACAAGCACTAATTTTTGTGCGAAGCAAGGCCATCTTCCGCGATCTCTAAATTCAAGCAGAAGGCGATAGAAATTGTAATAATGATAAATCTTTAAATCTGCATCATAGGATAAAGTTATTACTATTATTTATTAGTATTTTTCTTTTGTTTCCTAATATTTTCTCATATTCCACAGACAGCAAACGTAGGGATATAATTTTAGGATAAAAGGTCTTTATATATAAGCATAAATGATTTATGTATAGATTGAGAGCTTCATCATTATTATTGTATTAAATTATTCAAGCAAGAGTCAGATTTCTTCAATAACATCAGTATCAATATATCTACCTTTTTAAAAACCTTAAATTTGATCAATATTGCTAGTGTAAATAGCTGAGGCTGTGATTATAATTACAATTAAACTAAAAATAAATAATATAAATAAATTATTAGAACTAACAAATTGGTTACATGTACGCTATTCTAAGTATCATTAAGTGAAACGCACTAAGGGCTTATGTGCAAGATCCTTTACTTTTGATAGTTATACCTGAAAGGAAAGAAATTGTTTAACAAATGCATAAAAGATAATGTCAACATCACAGTATGCTCTATACTCTCCTTACAGACGATCTTCAAGCATACTTTACTTACTTATATTAAGGCAAGACGAATAACACTCTAATTGAGTTTCTCCTGTATACATGTATCCGTCGGATCCACAAACTATCTCGTCATTTTCATCATAAACATTTGCGCATATATTTTCACAGTAGCTTTCGGTAGCCTTTGTATCATCCTGAGAGTTCGCAGCACCTGCAGCTTGTATTTGTGAATTTTCGCTCTGTTGCTGAAATATAGAAGAATCAGACATGATAATTTGAAAGGAACATTGAAAAAGACATGAAATGATTTATTATGATTCATGGGCTACGGATCCTCTTCCTACCTGTTTCGAATTTTCCGTGTCGGCGCTGTCTTCTATGTCGTCACTATATTCATTGATTGGCTTGGCAATCTCGCCGATGGGAGCGGGCGCTTGAACCAGATTTGTTTGGTGAGGTGTTGAGTAGATTGTCTCATAGGTGTATTTGTTCCCTTGCGGAGATTGGGTGTAGCTTATATGTCCTCTAATAGCATCTTGTTCAGTAAATTCAAACCGCAGCGGCTCTTGTGTAAAACCTTTGTGACTCTTTTGGAGATTTTGTTTTCTTGTCGTTGATGGTGGTGCTTGTGTCGTAGTTTGGACTGCCATTGGAGATAGAACCACATGCTTCACAGCCTTATTTCCATCAGACTTTACCACAAATACATCCTGGCCGGCTTGATAGCTGCCGCGAACAACAGCCACATTTGGTGGTGCGGGATCTTGATTATAAAACAAATCAGCTACTTGGATGGGTTCGTTATAGCTGGACGACAGACTATTGTCTGTGGCATGATGTTGGGTGCCCCCGTTTATGGGATAATGCTGCTGCTGTTTTTGTTGCTGCTGCTGCTGCTGTTGCTGCTGCTGTTGCTGCTGCTGTTGCTGCTGCTGTTGCTGCTGCTGTTGCTGCTGCTGTTGCTGCTGGTGTTGCTGCTGGTGTTGCTGCTGCTGCTGCAGTTGCTGCTGCAGTTGCTGTTGTTGCTGCTGCTGCTGTTGCTGTGTTTGCTGCTGCTGCGGTTGTGGATATTGATGAGTATGCTGGACGGGGATGGGGATACCATCGTGCTCAGCGTCCAATTTTTTATAGTCAGGATCTCGTTTGGGTAAAAAGTACTCATTGGTGCCCATGAAGTGTAGGTAATCCTGAGCCTCTTTAGAATCTATTTTTGGTGCAACTGGCTGGCGGAAATTCCCCTGGTGCTGAAGAATGGCTTGCTTAGGAATATTTTCAAACTCTTCGTGCACCGAGTAGGTACTATGTTCCTGCGGAAATTGAGCTTTTTTCATGACAGCTTGCTTCGATTGCACTGGACCGTAGCTTTCAGGCTGAACGTAAGGTTTCGGATAGTGCAAGTATTGGGTGGACTGTACAGGAATCTCATGCTGCTGGAACGGGGTGTATAATGGGTTGGGACTCTTTTGTAACACATTGGCATTTCCATTAAACCGATGGGACGATGCCTTTAAGTTATGTATGTACTGATCGGAGGGATATTGGAGAATACCCTCTGGTCGTACGAATTGGTTCTTTCCCACGTCGAGCACAGCATCCTTGAAGTGTGCAAATCTCTCTGGTTTACTATTATCGTAGTGATATCCCCCGTGCTGCGGATTGTTTTTGATGAACGGATAGTTCCCACTTTGCTCTATGCCCATTAAATGCAGTCCTGCTGGCGGTTGTGGAGATCTCAAAGGTATATTTGGGTGGATAATTGTTTAGTGATGGAGCAGGGGCAGGAGCAGGACCATCGGAGCGTGCATTCAGGCGATTCCGTTGAAACATATTTGGTCCTGGGTGTCTATTGCGAGTGGGGTGGGTAAAGTGCTTGGGTTCGCCCAAAAAATCAAATAGCCTTGCACTGCGCAGAAGATCAGTGTCACTGGTAAATTCTTGCCCACTATTGTTACACTGCACTCGCGAGTAAACGCAGGCAAACACAATAAGAATCTTCAGAAGATTGTTCAATATATTTATTACGCCTTGCGACATTTTGGGGCTCTTTACGAAGAGTGTAATTACACAATGAAGAATCAGAGCTGGTTCGTGGCTCGCGCGACTTGATTCCACGACGGTCTATTGATATTTGACATTTCTCAGTTCCGCAGCTGCTTCGAGATCTTTTCCGAAAGTAAAAAGTGGAATTTCTTTCAAATTTTACTCGCACACACGCACACACACACAGGAAACTTTCGGACAAGCATCTTTTGCTATGCCATCCAAACTAGTTGATCTCACTTTCTTTGTTATCTTAGCACCACCGTCTACACTATGAATGCTCCGATGCGATGCAGCTTTTGCTGAGGTGTTGGGTCTTTGGGGTCTCAATACTTAGTTAACAGTTTGTTATTTAAAGAACCGCTAGTCGATCACAATATCACAAAATACGAAACAAAAAAGTCAATAAATCCAATCTTGCAAACATCACATCTCATCTCACTTTCTTCTTCAGCTTTGATGGCTGACTTTGGCTCGGACTCGCGGAGGCAACTAAGTTTACAAGTGGAACATTTCTGAACCAGTCCATGTACGGGCTCGAAAACCTGTTTTGCAATCGTTACCACTGGGGCAATGTGGCTTGTTCGTCGGCCACATGCACACTGAGACAAAAATGCTTCCATTTGAAAGTGTGGCACAGTGGAGCTGTTGCAAAATCAAAAAAGAAAGGCTATCTCTAGAGCCGAAGCTTTGTATACCCTCTCACTGAGCGATCGTCTGCAAAGATTTGAAAAAGGCTCAGGTATGGAGTATTGAAAATTATGGAGGAGCAAAACTCTACCGTTGATAAATGTCTACTCAAGAGTTATTACTGGTTTAAATTCGGCAATTAATTAAGTGTATTTTATTGTATATTTTTGTTAAACGTAATGCATGAGAACCTACATCAACAATATACAAATGAATATGCTGTAAATATTATTCATTATTTAGTAATTGTTCGTCTTGTAGGAGAAAGTTACATATATCAAAGGTTATTCATTTGTGTTCATAACTGGAGTCAAACGAGTACAGGTTTCAGCTAATCAGTGAATATTTGTACTCAGTTGAGAGTTTACAAGTTTTTCATTTCCATTTCATTTATTTAAGTTTTCGATAATTTATGCATTCTTTTAGCGTAAGATAATGAAAATGAAAATGAACTATAATTATAGATTATAATGGTACGACTTTCGCTTTGGTTTGGCATTTTGGCATTGGTTTCTTTCAAGAGAACAACATATGTATGAGATATCAAAATAAAAGCGCTGGTTTCTGTCATTGTCATGCAAAGCATCTTAGAAACTGTAAATCGTTAATGTGTTCATTGATAAAAGGCCTGTTAGTTTTGGTTTTTGAAATATGATAATTATCTGCATCTTAAAAACCACATCAACGAAAAGTTTATCTCGATTAAAGAGCACAAGATGTTGGTCATTCTCTACACTACGCACGAGAGTATAGGAACTACGAAGTTTTTTTCCTCATGATGTCTATAATAATTCCATATTCAAAACTAAATAAATATTGTATTCTTAAAAATCATTTATGTGCTAATATAATTGCTTATTCATAGAAAATATTACATAGGAGGTTCTTGATATGAATTTCAGTGTTTGTGAGCATATTCCATGTTAAAATCATGTGGAGGTGTTTCCCAATCCCTTAGATTTAAAAAAGGTCAAATTGCAAGTTAGCTCAGATTTTACATTTGTAACCCTAAATTATCTTAATATCGTACGTCTTTAAATGCAAGTTTCCTTTGATTCTTCGCCATCTGTTCGGGCACTTGCACTATTTTCAAGTACGATCACAATATCTGTTCTGCTTATTACGGTTGAGTCTGCATTCTAAAAATATAATATTTAAAAATTAATTCAAAACTAGCTAAGATCGAATACAAATATAAGCAAGAAAATAGCACTAAATTATATTGATGCTGTCTTTTGATCCCATATCATTCCAATGGAAAATAGGACCGATAGAGTGGTTCAATTCGATTTTTCATATTTACATATTTTTAAATTTAGGGCCTCGATATAAATTACCATAAATCTTAGAATGTTCAACAACAACAAAAAAAAAACATAAAAGTTGGCAAACAGATAAAAAAGAAAGACTACGAGTGTGTTCAAAGAAAAAGATAACGTATTAGGAACGTTATCAAACTGGAGATTTCTTGTTTGTATATTTACCTTTGGTAGAGGAAGGCTGTATGTTTTCTTGATTAGCACTCTATTCGAAGACATAGAAGAGCTTTCGTTAGCATTATCATAATGGCTGGATCGAACGTGTACCTAAGAAAATTTAGTTGATTATATAAATATATATATTTGGCATGCCTAATCAGTCGAAATCGCCAGGATAAGAGCTCTCTGCGATGTATGTAGTTTGAGTATTGATCAGAAATATGTACATATTAACTCATCTTAATACTTACAGATTGAACCCGATCGTAGCCCTTGTTGTTACCCAGACTTGTGGCCGTTGTGGGCTCTCGAAAGCTCGAGCAATCCCTTGCAAATCCGCTGTTGTAGTAGGCTCCCACAGGTTTGCCACAAAGTAACTCTTTAAATGCGACCCGATAGCGACGTGACATTACACTATATACTATTGGATTAATGGTGCTGTGAACAAGTAGAGTCGTTATAGAAACTACTTTATGGAGACTTTAGCTATTGTTTCGTATTCACCATGATACGTAGTATGCGAATCCAGCAATGGAGAACAGCCATTCGTTTATGTCTTGAAAATTTTCAATATTCTTTGCGTACAAGTACCAAAGTCTTTGAATGTGAAAGGGAAACCAGCACACAAAAAATGTTATGACCACAGCGGCTATTTTTGAATCGAAATTTAAAATATTTGCAATCCATTCTTAGATTAATAATATCTCACCCAACATTCGTATGACTGTCTTTTTTTTCTTTTGTGAGTTTCTCGCTTCTTGATTGATGGTTCCATGTCGAACCCCTAGAACCAGAAGTTTAGTACATCACATTCAGGGATCGATATTTTCCATAATACTCACCCAATTTTAGTGTGGTTCTTGATCGTATCTTAGCTCCCATGCGCCCGTACAGCAAAATGATAATGATCATGGGAATCACGAAGAACACACAAAACGATATCTCAAATATGGGTATGATGTTCGGAATCTCTGGGGACATTGAACAGAATGCAGAGTCCGCTATGGGGGCATTATCTGTAAGTTGAGTACAAATTATATGATTTGATCTTCAGATTCAGAAGGATCCAAATATAAGCATACCCAGTGGATAAATGAGATATTGAATGTCTGTGAGTAAACCAAACGGTATGGCGCTTATAAAACTTATAATCCACAGTGCTGTTATGATCCGCACGGCACGCTTGAACCCAACCATTGCATACAGGTACAACGGATAGCAGATGGCCAAAAATCGCTCCATGGAAAAGGCAACGATCGTAAACACCGACACATAAGTGCAACTGAAATATTTACGGGAATGAGTTTTGCAACAATCAAAGTTTCATTATACTAACGCCTCAGATATGAATGCTCGTATCTTGCAAAAGGTCAATCCAAAGAGAAATGGATACTGGTGCCAGTACAGAAACACTTCGGCGGGTAGTCCTGGATGTATTGATATTATTAGAATGATATTATTATATTTTAATAAACCAACCAAAGAGTAAGTAGAGCAGATCAGAAACGGCAAGACTGAAGAGGTAGTAGTTAGTCGCCGTGTGCATTGTGGAATGTCTTATTATCACTATGCACACAAGAAGATTTCCTATCACCCCAGTTATAAAAACAGCTCCAAATATAATAGTAATCTAAAATGTTTTATTAAAGGGGAAAGGAAACTTCTTAAGTTATTACGCCACAATTTATTTGCATTCCAAGTGTATAATTTAGTAGTGGATCGAGTGACTTACCAAAACCGCCTTATAGAGTGGTAACGTTTGTGGGCCCAGAACAAATTCCACGTATTCCGAAGGTGAGCAGTTGGCGGTGAAGCAGCCATACTCCTCTGCCTCTAGGGCATGTTCCGGAGCCATGTTAAAGCTGGTCGCCAGTATCTGATTTATATTGTCAATACTCTTATTGAACACCATACTACTATTATTGAGCTCCAGGAATGGAAACGACGGCAATTCCGTGACCGATTCCATCTTGCTGGCAATATAAACGCGCTTTGGTTTTCACTCCGTGCTAACCGTATCCGCATCCAAAAGCGGAGGCTGTTGAAATGAGTTTAATTGGGTAAAAGCACATATGGCGAATATTTTAGAGAGAGAGAGAGAGATCCGCCTATTCGTTATCGTAATGAAACTGCCACTGTATCTTTTAGGTGCCTTCAGATTACTTTGCGCCGTCAAGCGATAGAGAGATAAAAGGCATGGTTTTGGCTAATCTGTAGATACATTGTACAAATGTATGTACATTTGTATATCTATATAGATATTATGAATGTAGATGTGTTTATTCTAAATTAAAAGAGATATGAAGCCGCGTTCATGCCGCAGAATGAGTAATATTTTATATTTACGTCAAAAACAATCAAATTTAAGCAAATAATTTAAGAGGCAATGGGCATTTACGTACAAATAATAGATCATATATAACTTAAATCAAATTCAAACGTTATGGGTTCAAAGCCCTAACTTTCCATACTCACAGACCATAGACAAAACCTACATCATTCGATTTGATCGTCATTCTTTCTTTGCTGCTTATTATCATTTCGGCAATACGAATGTTAGCTGGAATCGGCCTTAGAGAATTAGAGAGAGACTTAAAGAGACTTCCTAGAACCAAATACCGGCAACCATTAGTTAGGTAACAGCATACAAGTAAAGTAATTATGAACACATGGCTAATGCACCCTAATGAAACCATAAATATTTTCACGCTTCGTTCCTCTGTGGTTTCTGTGGTTAAGCTGAAACTAAATTTAACACGTACTAAATTCATACAGGATATGTTATTCTATGACAACCATACATACATGCATATGTTCTTACCGTTACTTTTTGCGCGTAAAAGTTTAAGTAGATCTAAAGAAACGTCAAATATACTTTTGGAATTAACTGGAATGGAGAAATACAGAAAAAACATACATGGCTGCTTAAGCACCAAAGCACTTTCAGATAACTATATCAGATATATATATTTATATTCTTTATTTTACACACACACATTAATGTACATACTTTGCTTTAGCCTAGTGATTCCTTTACACATTTAAAAAACATACGTTGAAAACCACAATATTGAGGCTGTCACAATCTCGTAATTAGCTTAAAAATAAATGTACTCTTTATTTGAACAGTGTGCGCATAGGATGCACAGCCAACAAGAGGTGCAACATAACTGGTGGCTCATCCAAGAGGACATCACCAGCAAAACAAACTGAACGGATACGAATTTTAGAGGTAAATAAGTGCGCAGGCGTTAAAGTCCGACTCTTTCTGTTACGAGCTAGTGGATTTTAATTGTTGCATTTGAGAACTAATTTCAGAAATAATTGCAGCTCTGTAACAATAAATTCATACTTTTGTTGAATAAGCTAGGGCGCATAATTCCTTTTTTATACTCTAACTTTGTAGATACAAGCACCAGTAAAATAATAAACATATGTGCCCACATTTTTTAAATTATTATTTTAATTTAAAATAACTACGTTAGGAAGGAATCGACTCTTTGCTAAGGCAACAAATATGTTCGTATGTTTGTCACACACATCGTTGCGATGATTGGAAGAGACGGAAAGTTTTTAATTGTAATGCCAATTAGAGCATTGCAACTACAACTTTGTAGTTATAATTCTTCACACCTTAATATATGCACATAAATCGGACAGATATGTCACGGTGCTGTCACTCTAAGGGCAGGTGTCTGTGTCGGCAGCCCAGAATATACAAAAAGTGTAGCATGCGTAGGACCTTTTGAATTAAAGTCATATTTTTAACATTGTTTGAATATGCATTTTACTCATTATATTCGGAGTACTCATACAATACACACAAACAAAATAAAAAAAAACAAAATAAATAAATAAAGAAAAAATATTAAAAAAACAAAAGATGACTTCAATAGTTCCAAATCTTACACCACCGGCAGGAATTGGAGCAGCCGTACCATTATGGATGAAAATTGATTGGAGTCCTGAAATAGAGCATGGCATTTACAAGGACTGGGGTTCGTACTACTCTGGCCGGCGAAGGGAGAACATGGCCATGTACTATTACAATAAGGCACTCTCCATGCTACCCGAGGATTATGTGACTCTTTACCATCGGAGCCAAACTAAACGGAAGAATGCTCAAACCGAAGGAGCTCTAAAGGATTGTGCAGAGGCACAAAGTATGTTTATACACCGAGAATGTTCTGCCCGCATAATGTTATACAATTTATAACATTGATTTACAGGAATTTTAAAAGGACTAAAGATCAAAAACGCTCCAATTAATTTGGAAATTTGTGATGCTCTCTATGAACTGAATCAGCTTGAGATTGCCAAGGCGGAATTACACGACAATACTCGGCTGTTCAAAGGAAACAAGACTAAATCATTTGAGAAACGTCTCATTGTGGTACGATTTATCGTTAATCGTCATATCTGTCTATATTCCCAGGATTTCTGACTCCTTAATGGTTTTAGGTTGACGAAAATATTAAAAACTGTTGTGGAGAAGAACTAACCCAGTTTATAGCTTCGAATGAAAAGCTGTTAATCCATGTAAAGGAAATGGACCTTAAGGCACGCAATCAAGTTCAAAACAAACCACTCTGGAAAATATTAAAAGAACAAAACAAATGCGATGTTTTAAGTATCCAGGAAATCGAAGTATGTACAAAACCTAAAAATGTTTTTAATTAGTTCATAAAACAAGATTTTGTTCTCAATTGTTACAAGGACGAATTACTCTCACCGCTTGAAATTGCAAGACGGGGTCGGGCATTTGATGTGTTTAATCAGATTTACTTGGACAAATCCTGGATTGATGTGGTATTTTTGAAAAAATTACTTAGGTAATTTCGGATAAAAGCTAATCAGGAGCTGATTAATTATTAATTACTAATATAATCTTTTTGTAGGAACCCAACTTTGCTACTTGAACAGTGCAGAAACTCGAAATACTTTTTGGGAGCTCTAAATAAAAAGAAATACGATGAGCTAAAAAAATTCTTGGTATGTAAAATTAATGCTTCAACTATTGCGATATTAAATACTACAAATACTTTTAAATTTTACATAAATATATTCCAGAAAATGCTTCATGCTCGTGCTCCCATGTACTACCTCCGATATAACAAATTCACGAACAAGAAACTGATGGACAAATTTCGGGAGGACTATCTTTATCGTATGCAGTACCAAACAAGTCGTAATATGCTTTCGGTATTAAGGAGCATTCGAAGACTTCGTGCTGCCGGGAACGTAACGGTGAGTTTTTATTTGTATTTTTTGTAGGGGACATTATGGAAATTTCGTTGAGTTCAGAAACTTTCAAAGTACGTGGAAGAAGTTATGGGAGACTACGTTGTCTTAAAAACGGATAGGATTATGCCATGGAAATTTGAATTTATGAATGAAGTTTACAACACATTGGCGCTGGCATTTGCCGAACAGTGCACAGTTCCTCCCGATAAGAATCGTCACTCCGACAAGAATGCTCTTCTGAAGTTACTTCGCCTTCCCACCGACAAATCGTGGGATGTTCAAAATTTCGTATTTGGAGACCGGTCGACTCATCAGGACGCCGATATATCAGATCCGTCCCTCTCAAAATCCAGGTAACAGTTTCTACCCAACAATAAATCCACGATACTACTATGAAAATTCGTGATTTATAGACAGATGATAACTCGATTGGAAAAACGAATGCTGTTTGCCAAATATTCGATCGAGAAATGCTATCTGTTGCATCAAATTGGTTACACTCATCTCAAATCAAATCGCTTTGATGAATGCTGCTTTGCAGCTAGAAAGGGCTTGATAGGTGAGCGAAAGGCTAAGTGTAATTATATCCACAAGTAACTTAAAAATTTATTATTTTCAGAAACTAAGAACTGTAATAGCTTGTTATGGCGTTTTCTGTGCACTCTTCTCATTATTAAGTCAAATGCAGCCCTCCACAAGGTTGAACGGACAAAGGAAGCACTGATTAGGGCTCAGAAAATGATGAACGAACTTTCTTCTCCTCAAATTGCTCATTTTGTAGAAGTTTGCATAGCATGTAACGAAGAAGAATTTAATGTAAAGAAACAACGCGGTAGTATTCAAAGCCGACGTCAAAGTTCTTCGTCCGTGATGACTCTGAGGACAGACGACACTGAGACTAGTTTTGAAAATATCCAAAAATAAGTGTGTAATAATATTCCAGGTACAATTAATTGAAATCATTATAAAATTGTTTTTTTTAAATATATTTCTTCTCCATTTCCCAACTCTTCTTTAGTCAATGCTTTGTTGAGGCAACAGCTAGAAAGGAACAATCATGGTACATCGTTATAATGACGAAGAGAGATTAAAAGATGTGAATTTGCTGAATCACAGAATATTTCTCAGAATATATCATGGGGCCTTTGAAATGAGAGTTGTACTCAAAAATTTTTTTTTCAAAATTTATTTCCTTTATTATGTTCTAAACACTCAAACAAACCACACCACAAAATAATAAAAAAATAAAAATCAACAAAAATAAATAAAAACAAAAGATGACTTCAATAGTTCCGAATCCTATACCACCGGCAGGAATTGGAGCCGACATACCATTATGGATGAAAATTGATTGGAGTCCTGAAACAGAGCATGGCATTTACAAGGACTGGGGTTCGTACTACTCTGGCCGGCGAAGGGAGAACATGGCCATGTACTATTACAATAAGGCACTCTCCATGCTACCCGAGGATTATGTGACTCTTTACCATCGGAGCCAAACTAAACGGAAGAATGCTCAAACCGAAGGAGCTCTAAAGGATTGTGCAGAGGCACAAAGTATGTTTATACTCTGAGAATGTTCTGCCCGCATAATGTTGTACAATATATTTTTATATTTATTTATTTACAGGAATTTTAAAAAGTCTTAATATCAAAAACGCTCCAATTAATTTGGAAATTTGTGATGCTCTCTATGAACTGAATCAGCTTGAAATTGCCAAGGCGGAGTTACACGACAATACTCGGCTATTCAAAGGAAACAAGACTAAATCATTTGAGGAACGTCTCGCTGTGGTACGATTTATCGCTAATGTGCATATCTGTTTATATTCCCATGATTTCTGACTCCTTAATGGTTTTAGGTTGACGAAAATATTAAAAACTGTTGTGGAGAAGAACTAACACAGTTTATAGCTTCGAATGAAAAGCTGTTAATCCATGTAAGGGAAATGGACCTTAAGGCACGCAATCCAGCTCAAAACAAACCACTCTGGAAAATATTAAAAGAACAAGACAAATGCGATGTTTTAAGTATCCAGGAAATCGAAGTATGTACAAAAAGTTACCATTTTAGTACGCCTAACAATATTCTCTCAATTTGTACAAGGACGAATTATTATCCCCGCTGGAAATCGCAAGGCGAGGTCGGGCATTTGATGTGTTTAATCAAATTTACATGGACAAGTCATGGATCGATGTGGTTTTTTTGAGGAAATTGCTAAGGTAAATTTATATTAAAACTAATCAATTGATAATGGGTGTTTCTATCAACTGCTGGGATCGTCTATGTTCAGGAACCCAACTTTGCTACTTGAACAGTGCAGAAACTCGAAACATTTTTTGGGAGCTCTAAATAAAAAGAAATACGATGAGCTAAAAAAATTCTTGGTATGTAAAAGTAATGCTTCAACTATTGTGATATTTTAAATTTTACATAAATATATTCCAGAAAATGCTTCATGCTCGTGCTCCCATGTACTACCTCCGATATAACAAATTTACGAACAAGAAACTGATGGACCAATTTCGGGAGGACTTTCTTTACCGTGCACAGTACCAAACAAGTCGTAATATGCGTTCGGTGTTAAGGAGCATTCGAAAGCTTCGTGCTGCCGGCAACGTAACGGTGAGTTTCATGTTTTCCCATTTTTTGTTTTCATAAAAGACATTTTGTTGATTTCAGAAACTTTCAAAGTACGTGGAAGAAGTTATGGGAGACTACGTTGTCTTAAAAACGGATAGGATTATGCCATGGAAATTTGAATTTATGAATGAAGTTTACAACACATTGGCGCTGGCATTTGCCGAACAGTGCACAGTTCCTCCCGATATGAATCGTCACACCGACAAGAATGCTCTTCTGAAGTTACTTCGCCTGCCCACCGACAAATCGTGGGATGTTCAAAATTTCGTATTTGGAGACCGGTCGACTCATCAGGACGCCGATATATCAGATCCGTCCCTCTCAAAATCCAGGTAACAGTTTCTACCCAACAATAAATCCACGATACTACTATGAAAATTCGTGATTTATAGACAGATGATAACTCGATTGGAAAAACGAATGCTGTTTGCCAAATATTCGATCGAGAAATGCTATCTGTTGCATCAAATTGGTTACACTCATCTCAAATCAAATCGCTTTGATGAATGCTGCTTTGCAGCTAGAAAGGGCTTGATAGGTGAGGCTTCTTCTATTACTTGTGTTGTAATTATGTCCACAAGTAACATACAAATTCATAATTTTTCAGAAACTAAAAACTGTAATAGCCTGATATGGCGTTTTCTGTGCACTTTTCTAATTGTTAAGTCAAGTGCAGCACTCCACAAGATTGAACGGACCAAGGAAGCACTGAAATGGGCTAAGAACATGTTGGACGATCTGGCTTCTCCTCAAATTGCCCATTTTGTAGAAGTTTGCATAGCATGTAACGAAGAAGAGTTCAATCTAAAGAAACAAAGTGGCAGCATTGCAAGTCGGCGTCAAAGTCGTTCCTCCAACCGCAGTAACATGTCGCTATCACTTTATCAACTATCACATTTACCGTCATATACAAGCACGTAAAATTTGATTTCTGGACAGCCAATATATTAAAATTCGATGTGCAAATCTGATTTGAAACAAATGTACAACTGTTTCACTTGATTAAGTAGCTTCGTGTCCCGATACTCTTGCAGATCCATTGCTCCAGTTGCAGATATGTCCTCTTTTGGTCGACTTAGTTCCTGTGGGAGGAATAGGACTAGAACATGATCTTCAAAAGAAAAAGTATATAGGGTCATGAACTATTAATGATGGTTTAGTTTATTTCTCGATATAGTTAACTTAGGATGATGTTTTCTCCACTAGTTTTGCCATCATTTTTTCCTCCTTCGCCTTTCGCTTAGCTTCCTTTTGCTTCTTCTTGTCTTCCTTCTCCTTTTGCTCCAGCATCTCCTTGAAGCGCTCATCACGCGTATCCACCTTGAATCCAAAATGTCTGCGCACCTCCTCCACCAATCGCTCCTTTCGCTTTATCGCTGCAGCAGCCTCTGCCTCGCGTTTGGCCACCTTTGCATTCAAATCGGATTTCCACTGCTGTAGCTTATCCAGTTTCTTTGCTATATCTTCATCGCGGGCATTGGTTCTTTGGATTTGCTCTGCTTTCTCAAGGCGGTTCTTTTCCAGTGCTTTAAGGAAAGCCTCCAGTTGCATAACTTCTTTCTCTGCACTCGAATCAAAGCAGATCTTTGGGTTAACGTTGCTCTTAGCACCGTACTGGCCATAGACTTTTCTCTGATATTTCTCGGTCAAGTGTATCCAAGACTGAGCGTCTCGATACGGCAAAATACCCATTACAATATTTTTATGCTGTTCTTGTAGACCAGATTTATTGAGTTTCTGTGCAAGCACAGAGCTATCCTCCACATTTTCATTAATGATCGAAGCCGGCAGCTCCGCAGTCGAAGCGGTTGAAGATTGTAAACGCAAAGGCAATGAATAAAGTTTCGTGACAACGTTTATTTTACGTAAATTCATTTTGCAGTATTTGTAAAACTATGTGTACAATTTAGCCACATTAGGGATGCAACAACGTGTTGATAGACCGGTTATCGCAATCAAATTTCTGATGCATATCGATATTTGACAATGAATGATGAGGGTACTCTACTCACTGCTTTTCATTTAATGGATTTGATAGATTTGATTTTGCGTGGATATATATATATATATATAATATGTCAAGCTGTTGTATATGAAAAATCATAAATAATAAAATTAAAAAGAGTTCGACTATATATTGCTGGTTAAAGCTGTTATTTTTTTTTTAATTTAATTTTGCTTATTTACAAATCGCTTTAAAAAGTCGGCGTGCAACATATTAAGATAAGCGACACCAAGGCGAAACTTGTAAGAATAATTAATGAAGCATTATTACAAATACAGTGAACAATATACTTCTCTGGTCACATTGTCATCACTGTAATCATCGAAAAATATATTTCAAAACGTACTTTATAATGGAATTATATTTTCACCATTTCTCTATTCTATTAAACTATTTTAAAATATTATTCCTAATATTATTTCCTACAACAGAACAAAACTACTTCCAAATCAAAAGCAAAAGCCTGAACACGGGTATTTTTTTAATGCGTGTGCCGATATCTATGTAGTGCACATATCTAGATTCTACATACATGCAACACTCAAAGTAAAGCGCGCAAGGCAAGCAGAAGTTTTTAAAATCAATGTTATAAATACGATTGAATACACTTCAACATGCAGCAAGAAACGCCATTGAGTCAAGAAAAATTGGTGGGAAGGATTAAATCCGTTTATGTGAAAAATTTCGTGTAAGTACAGTGGTGAGCAGAAATGTCCTGACATATGCCTATTCCATACACACAGTTAGTCGGTGAGAGCAGAATGTTCTTTTGTTTGGCAGGTCCTACAACGAGGTGACTTATTGTCCCAAATTATACCTGAATGTATTGACTGGGCCCAATGGCAGCGGAAAGTCTACAATTGTCTCAGCAATAATGATAGGCCTGGGCGCCGAACCAACTTTGCTCGACCGCTCCGCCAGCATTGCCGACTACATACAAAGCGGCGCAGCTGAGGCTACAATTGTTGTTACGATCTACGGTCGCTTAGAAAACACTACGGAGGCTTTTCGCCGCGTAATTACGTCTGATGGCTCATCAAGTTTTTATGTCAAGGATGTCAAGCAGACGAAGAAAAATTTTCAGAGCATAGTGGCCTCTTACAACTTGCAAGTCGGCAATTTGTGCCAGTTCATGCCACAGGACCGGGTTCAGGTAACAACGACTTCGAATTGTAATTTGAACATGTCTGATTTATATTCTGGCGCAGGACTTTTCGAAAATGAATCCACAAGAGCTGCTTTCGAACACAATAGCTTCCATATGTGACAATGACCTAACAAATAATTTTTCTCTGTTGAGAGAGATGCGTTCCAAGCAGAATTGGTCTGCTGGTGATCGTGAAAAACAAAAAATAAAGTTGCAGAAGAAACAACACCGCTTGGAACAGTAAGAACACTATAATGGTTAAATAACTTAAAATTCGAATGCTTTGCTATACAACTTCTAGGTTAAAATTTTCTGTTGAGCAATTTCGTGAAGGCGAGGAAATAAATCGAAAGGTGAACATATTGAAAATAATGAAAATATGGCTTGAGGTTCAGAAGACCTCAGAAAAGGCTGCTGAATTAAAACAACAATTGGAGACAGAAAAAATGAATTGTAAGAAAGAGGAAATCAGCTACAACAAGCACAAGCAAGCGGCGGAACAGATCGAAAAGAAAAGAGCAGATCTAAGGAATGCTTGCTTAAACGCGGTAATTGTTACACATCGACTAATAATAGTTGCAAATTTAGTTCAAAGAATAATGTGTGATATTCCTTTCAGATACGGTCTTTAAATCAGTCGGAGGTTGCCAAAAATGTTATCATAGGTGAATTGGATAATTTGAAGCAAGAAATGTTACACAATAGATCAGCATATGTGGTTGGTAAAATTTTTATATAATTTATAAATTGCTTGTTTAAATAATTGTACCTTTAATAGCACGAAGAAAAAAGAATAACGCAATCTGTAGCAGAAGCCGAAAAAGTAAAACTTCTGATAGATGCTAAAAATCAAGAGCTAACAGAATTAAACAAGAACAAGTCCGAAATGATGGCCGAATTGGAAAATCATAAAGAATCGTTTAATAATATTAACAAAAAGGCAATGGATCAGCTTAATAAACGACGAAAACTAGAGAGCGCTCTGAATGATGAAAAGATTCCGGAAATTACAGCATTGAAAAATAAGATGGAGAGACTAAAAAATGTGAAAACACAAAAGAAGCAGGAGCTGAGCCGAACACAACCAAATTTGGTTGCTGCTATGAATTGGGTTGATCAAAATAGGCACAAATATAAATTAAAAATTTATGATCCCATGATATTTGAGGTAATTATATTTGTTGTATATTTTTGCAGAAGGGTTTGTTTTAGTGTTTCGATTAATATACTGGTTTTAACACCTTTCATCAGCACTCACATCCCTTTTCTGTCTGGCGCTTTTTTTATATGCTACTTATACCATTGTACCACCAGTGCGCAGTCATGGGAATGACGCTGATCCGATTCGTCTCAATTGACACGGACAGAGACCATCAGTCTAAAGATCTCTAGAAACAAAAAGGGAAACTCCATACCAAATAAACTAAAACATACATTCCTTCGATGAACCATTCTATGGATCAGTCGAAAAATAAATCTTAGTGACTAGTATTTTGTTTGCTCCACCCTCGTCATTTCAGTTCTTATTGGAAAGCAAGGACGCCGCGATGTACTTGGAGAGTGTGGTAAGACAGCGCACCTTTATGCGCGAGTCTAAAAATCTGTAGAAGCAAGAAGGGAAACTTCATACATACATAGGCAGGGAAAGAATATCAAAGCACTAAAACATATATTTCCTTCGATGAACCATTCGATGGATCAGTCAGTAAGAAAAACTACTAGTGTTTGGTTTTATCCACAATCGTCATTTCAGTTATCAATAGAAAGTGACGATGCAGCGAAATATTTGGAGAATGTGGTAAGACAGCGGGACCTGTTTGCATTTGCGTGTGAGGACAAAGGGGATATGTCTGATCTGATCAACGAACTATGTGTGAAGCAGAAGTTAGATGTGAATATTATACACTGCGCACCAGCTGATACATGCTCATATAGTCCCACTGTATCTAGAAGTACACTGCGGTAAGCCAGCCTCCTATTAGCAAAATACATACATATGTATATCCATTGTATATCGATTGCAATATTCTTTCATTTCTAAACAGACCCTTGGGATTTCACTCGTATCTAGTTGATCTAGTCACAGGACCAGCACCCATAATCAACAAACTGTGCTCGTCATACTCAATCCATAATATTCCCATCGGCACAGACGCCGTGAGCAATCATACATCATCCATTCCAAAGCAAATTCGCGTATATTTTGGAGGTAAGTACGAAAGATGGTCACAATGGCCCTACTTTTACTAACTAAAATATGGTAATTTCTAGGCAACAAGAAGTTCATGATAACAACATCCAGATACCGGCCTGACTTAATGCTAACTGAAAGCTCAATACAAGGAAAAAATCAACTGATTGCGGTTGATACGCAGCAACTGGAAGCGCTTCAAAGGCAGTATTCCGAAGTTGTCGTACAACGAGACAGACTTCGAAATGCAATTACATTACTCGATTCAGACTTCGAACGTTTGCAGGCAAATCGTAAAGAAATAGCTGAAAAAAAGCAAACGGTCGAACATAAGCTGTCGTATGTGAATCAAATTAAAGGCGAAATAGAAAACCTTTTGAAAAAATTTCAAAGGCTTAATGAAACGTCCAATTGTGAGTAAATATATCTATGCAAACCGATTCACATTTTACTTAATGGAAACACATTTAGCATTGGATTCAATAAAAAAGCAAGCATGCGACACTCTGCTTATAAATATGAAGAAAATGCTAGATGCCGAGGAGAGACTAGTCAAAAATTCGGAACAAATAGGCAAGTGTTTGTGTGAAATGATATTGACAAAAGCAATGGAAGCCGTTCACATGCAACAACAGGAAAGTCAAACCGATTCACTTAAGAATATGGAGGAAATGTTAAGATCATCAAAGGTATGTGGTAAAATACTAAATACACAATAATAACAGCAAATTAAATTTTAATTACATTATTAGAGAAAAGTAAACCAACTGTCGGAGCTGTACGAAGGTCAGACGCGGGAGAACCAAAAGAAAATATGCGAAATTAAACTGCGGTGCAACAATTTGCTTCCAACCGATTCGACATTCCCATTTAAAAACGAATTTCATAATATGGAGAGTATGGATATCAATGAAGTTCGCGAAGCAATAAACGACCACCAGGCGAGATTTGAGTGCATACAAAACAAAAATTCTGATGTAAGTTGACTGTGTGCATTCAATTTACTTAAATTCAATATTTAATGAGATTATTTTTAGACAATCAAAGATTTCAATGAGCTGCAAAACGAGGCAAAGTCCCTTGAGGAACTAATTCAAGTATCGTCGCACAATGTAAAAACAATCGAAACCGAAATGTCTGCGTTATACGAAAAATGGAAACCTAAATTGAACGACTTAATAGGTACTATCAACATTAAGTTTGGCGAATTCATGGAATCCATCGACTACGTGGGAGAGATAAACCTGTCCGAGTCAGATCCAGTATAGCATACACTTTTTTTAAAATACTTTCGTACATTCTTAAAATTTTCAAAATTTTGTATTTTTAGTACGACTTTGACACATATGGCATCCAAATATTGGTTCAGTTCAGAAAAAATACCCCACTACAGACTTTGGACAAGTTCATTCAATCTGGTGGCGAGCGAGCAGTTTCCATAGCAGTTTACTCGTTAGCTTTGCAACATGTTACTCACGTGCCATTCAGGTAATTATTTTACAAATGAAGTCAAAGATTCGAATTTTAAATTAATATATATTTTAAAGATGCGTCGATGAAATAAACCAAGGCATGGACGCTAAAAATGAACGTAACATTTTTAATCTACTATTAAGGGAAGCCACCAAGCCTGGATCGGCTCAATACCTTTTTGTTACGCCGAAGGTATGTAAACATTATTAAGAAGCATAGGTGATCAGGATGTGCGTTCTTTTATAATTGTCCATTGAAAAAAGTTCGCACCAAAATTAAGAAATACCGGACAATTAAAACCAAAGAAATATATATTCCATTTTTTCTTTATTTTCAGCTGCTGTGCGATCTAGAATATAATGAAAAACTGTGCGTAGCTGTTGTGTACAATTCACAAACAGTTTCGGAAAACTTGAAGTTTCCATCGATCGCTCCAATGGATAATTGATTATTGATTAATGTTGAATATTTTGTAATCAGCGAAAGAAATATGGAAATCAACTTGAACTGAAAAGCTATGTTTTATTATTGCAAATATTAAACTGAAATATCTTTGAATCTGGTTTACTTCCAAGCATAGATAAGTTTGTAAATGAATTTGTACGACATAGATGTAGATGGTAGATGGTAGACCACAGTACCATTATAATTATAATTTTTCGACGTATTGAAGATTTCCCACGACTGACCATATTGCTATTTCTAACTAAACTGATTTGACTCTATACTACGAGGCCTTTGAAAGTCTGATTGATAAACTGAAATGCAATGATGCACAACGTTTTGCATACTTGAGTTTTACGTTGGCTTCATTTGAAGATTGTAGTAAAGCAACAATATCTTATTACAACTTGAGTTTTCCTTTATCTTAGCATATGAATACTTGATACAATCATGCTGTATATACACCTATACTATAATAATTTGTAAAAATAATATGATATAATTGACGATTGCTCAATGGTTAGTATAAAAGATGATGTAAAATTCATTCAGTTTGTCAGTTAAGCTTCAAACGCGAGGTCCAACTATAAGACGTTAACTATAAATCAATTTGAATATTTGTGTGCACCCATTATAGTTGGGATTTTTTAGATCAGCAGTTATTGCTATACAGCCGTATTAATAAATCTTCTACTGGCCTACTAAGTCCCAACATAATGAGAGTAAAAACCACTGGCTTACTATATTCCTACTTTAATACAAGTAAATAAAACTATATACAAATGCGTGAAGTGCAATTAAATATATAAAGTACGTTCTGGCTTTCATTAGTCTGAGCTTTATTCTCTTCAACCGTCGACAGCCAGGGGCACAAGGGAATAGTGCAAAAGAGAACTCCCGAGAATCAAAAATGAAAACCATGTACTATGAATGACAAGGTAGGTAGATTGATGAAAATTGTTTCTAAAAATAAATTATACAATATATAAGTTGTATATTAAGTAGCTATTATCAACCGATTCGCATCATTAAAATGATTTTATTTTTCTGCATCAATAGTTCCAGCAAGGTATTTATTACGTGAGTTTGTTATGATCAACCCATCATAATCGTTTTAATCGTTGATTTCATTCTGAACGGAAAAATCACCAACGCTAACAACATTTAATTTATAAATTTAAATTAATATTTTTTTCCTATTCCTATCACTTGCAGCCGCGATTATTTACTGTCGTCACTATTCGATATATGTATACTATCGATATCTGATTTATTTTCTTTATGTCATGAATAACCATCACTAAATTACAATTAATAAAATAAACGTAACATTTTTAGGATGAATTTAAGTGCTATTCTCGTTTTGCTAAGCATCGTCGCTAATGGATGGGTAATAATACATATGCATCAATATGCCATTTAAAATAACTAAATTTTCTGCATAGTGCTTTCTGGAACATGACAGCTGGATTACCGTGGAGCTCCATCATGCGCTAGCATCCAACTCGGACGAATTTTCTTTCCGCGGAAATGTTACAATTCCTAGTCTTAATTCGGGCTTGTCCAACGTAGCCCAACTTCCGTTGACACCTGGAGAACTGGACGCTTTAAAGGCAAGTAAAACTTTGCTGACCGGCAGTCATACATATATACGTACATACAACATGAAGGTCTATGAAATTTGGCGACCCCAGGGTAAACCAATTGCACATCTAATTTCATTATCTTATATTTTAGGCTCTCGCGAAACAAAATGAATTCTACCGCTTGAAGGCAACTGTGGTATATCCCAACGGCAGCAAGACCCGCTTCATTACATCCAACAAGGCCTGCAGCTTGCTGCAAGCTCATCTGAACGATGTACTGTGGATATCACTAGATCCTTCTGGATATGTTACCGGTGTTACTGCTTCTCAAGATGCATTGCCCAGTGCCGACGGCTGCACAAGTGAAGAAATAAATAACTTGGAGGAAACGCACTTTAACACCGATGTGTTGATCCGTCATGCCGAGCTAGCTCCCGTACCAGATACAGCTGGCTTTATTCAAAAGGTCGAGCGTGAGCGCGAGGCCAGGGATCGCGGTGAAGTTCGTGATAACCGAGGATTCTTTGCCAAATATGTAAGCTTAAACCGTACGAATTGATAACAACGCAAATCAATAATTTTTGTTTTGGTTTTAGTGGATGTATATCGTTCCTGTAGTGCTATTGGTATTCATTTCTGGAGCCACAAACCAAGACGGAGCTAAATAATAAATCATGTAATTAATGTTCACAATTTAAATAAACATCCTAGACAATTCTGTATTAATTAATTCATGCTAAGTAATAAATTGGCAAATTATGAATACGTGCCCCTTGCTGGCAACGTCTTATCTTCTACATTCTAAAGATAAATACTAAATGGCAACTTTTCATTTTACAAACATCACAAACAATAGTTGAAAGTCTTTTCGGCAGGGACATGGAATATACATTATAATAATAATATATATTACTGTTATATTACTCTATATAACTAGCAATAGGCGATATTCGAGACTTCAAAAGAAAAGTTGGTATTTCCAACAGGGGTACGGAAAAAATTAAAATTGTTTGCGTAGAAAAAAGTACTGTAGTTATACATACAAACATAATCATACATATGTTTAGCATACTAGAAAAATGTTTACTTAAAGAAGTTGTGGGGGGTTCTGGGGACTTGTGAGAATAAAGGTATTGTAAAATTGACCAGATGATTGTAAGGCACAAAAGGAAACATCTACGACGTATTTATATCCGAGCTATATAAATCCGAGTCAATATAGTCCTGTCTGTCTGTTTATACTTAAGCTAGACTCCGTTTTAAAGCTTTCTAAACGCAATTTTGTGTTCAACGTATGTACAATAATATTATTTCATGAAAAGGAAATTGGTTTTTACATTTCTCCCTACGATTTTATCAAAATCAGACCACAAAATCTTGCTAGAATTTTTAACTATCAGTTAAACGTGGTAACCAAGAGAATGTTGTGAAGGATGGGTCCAGGGGCTGTGTTGATTGAATGGTAATGGAGTCAAGGGAGGGACTTCTAGGAGCATATAATCTTCGGCAGCTAGCTCTCGCATTCATTTTTTATTTGTCTTTCTTCTATAATATGATACGGTCTTCTTACATGTATATTACCTGGTAAATATATTGTATATTTAACCTAAGATCTTTTTTGCACATGCCACAAGTATACTGCGTACGTTTAATCCAAGTCGAAATGTAAAATAAACCATAATTAAAACGTTTGTAGACAGTAAACGGAGTGGGCAACCAGAGAGAATTGTAAATTACACGCTCGCTTAACCACGGGCCACGCCACCCCGAATTGGGCTTGAGTACGCTGCGTGCCGAGTGGTTGCAACACAAAATTGTAATTACAATTTCCTGGCGCTTTTCCCAGAGAAGGTGCCCCGGTTGTGAGTGTTAGTGTGAGTCCGAGTCCGAGTCCCAGTCCGAGTCCAAGTCCCCCCTCAACGAGTGCTAAAAAATAATTTTGACGATGTTGCCTATCAGTGCGGTGAGGGCTACGTGACAATTTGTCGATACCCGAATTTCTTCAGCGGCCAGGAACGCCCTCAGTGGTGTAAAAAACGACTCGGCCCGCCTTGCCCGTGCTCGTTTTATTTCTACCCGCAAAATTCAGGCAAACCAAACCAAACATGTGGTAACCCCATAATTTACGCCCAAGGAAGTTATGATATTGATTACCATAAAGTCTCTCCAAGGTAGCTTTCTAGATTTGTTCCCCCTAATGCGAAGAACTTAATTGCACTACGCCATCGAGATAATCTGCCAATACTCCTATATTGACAGACATTTAACAATGGGTTCTTGTTTAAATTGTTACATTTCACGTGCCGTGCCGTTTAATCCGCAACGTCACCCTTTTTCTGTTAAATTTAAATTATCTATTTGCTAAACAAGGCGCATTCAAGGATAACAAAACAAAACACTTTTAAATTTAAACACAAAAAAATAGCTAGATCAAAAAGCAGAGTTGGAAAAGAGCCATCTGTCAAAATTCTCGTCATCGTCCTACGCAATCTGTCAACCTTCATACTTTTCTCATTTGGGCGACATTAACAATGTCGTTGAATTATGGGTTGAACTGCGGTACACGATACACAGGCCTAATAAAGTATTTCGTCCCGGTGCACTTGTCAAGTGTTGACATACCAACCCATCCATCCATACCCATACCCAGACCAATCGCCCAAGCCGGTCATTAAAAAATATACACTTTTTAGCCTTTGAGTCCGCATGCGATTCCAAATTGGCCGAATCCACTGCGGAGACGACAGGGCAGGGTGGCGCAGGACTTACAATTACTTAAATTGTTCATGCTAATGTGTTACCTTTGGCCCATATTTAAACCCGATAAATACCACACCACACTTGAGGGGTGTGTTCAATCGGAGCAGCACCGCACTGGACTGGCAGTATTACACCCCCAATTAGCCGATGGTTTCGTACTGGCGTATATGTATTTATACTTTTGTATATCTTTGAATGATTAAAATCGTATCCGTAAAATGCAACTTCTTTGTTTGGTTTTACATCATACGAGAGTGCCTGTGAAGACAATAATTCTTCAATAGAATATACATTTGGAGCTGAGAGAGAGGCTCAGTCAGTATATAGGCATACGGAATACAGCAGTACAATAATGCAAGTATTTGTACAAATATTCCCATACGGATATGTATTCATGGGTATTAAATTTGTAACAAGTTAGCAGATGGCGCCAATTCAGAGCCCGTGTGTGAGTAGAGTGATTAAACAAGCGTATCGATACGAGCAGGAGCAGAAGCAGGAGCAGGAGTATGAGCATTCAGTCAATGCTGCGTACCCATCAATGCTCAATCCAAGTTTACACAATCCCAATTCAATTTAGGATTGACAGGTTCATAAACGGCATTGTTCGCTCTGTTTGTATTTGAATTTCATGCCCGAAAACAATTGTTCTTTTACTGCCCACACATTCATGGTGCCACAATAGGCAGGCAAGAGGCTTATGCACTCGAGTAAATACTGTTTGGTCATGGGAAAGCCAATTGCGGACTTATGCGGGGCGGCGCGGTTTATTATTATCGAGATAATCCCTTTAGGAAACGTTGCCACAAGTGCGCCATTTTCCGGGACACAGTTTTGCGAAAGATATTATTACGACTATTCTGGCAGGTTCTATTTATAAGATATAAAGACTCAATTTACATATAAAGAAGAGGCGTATACTGGGGGTTTCTTAAGACAATCAATCCGAGGGATACCAATTTATAAGCCCATAACAATCTGCCTTTGACCTATGATTTCATCCTTCCAATCAATCAGATTTCTCCCTATCAACGAAAATATTATTTTTTCCAGATTGTGGAATAAATTTCAAAAAGGAATTGAATTTCAAATTAGGTTGGGAGTTCAATGGCTTGGTTGTATATATTTAATAAAGGGAAAGTTGAAAGGATTTGTTTATGAGGAAATAGACTTCAGTGCGTTTGCCTTAAAAATATACCCAATCGCTCTGCTCGGTCTCAGATGTTCAAATATGTAAAAAAATATCTGATTTGTGTAAAAAAAAAAATCCCAGTTCCTAGTGCTGCTTGTTACCCATTTCGATATGTGCTTTATAGGGTCATAAATTTCTACCTTAATTTAGGGTGGAAACCAATAATTAAGCCCTTTTGTGAGTATGTGCCATCAGTACATCCCTATGTAGTAGGAGTATACAGAGATGTCTGGTAATCGAATTTTCTGAAGGGCTAATTTATATTCTGTTTGAAATATTCATATTGGTTAGAATTGTAACATAATTCATAAAACTGAATTCCTTAAAGGAATATCGTACATAAATGTGTACCATTATTTTCTATACAGACACACATCCATACAGACGGAGTATACTCCAAATCACTTTAACTGCTGGTAATCGGCGAATAATCTTCAAAATTTGCATGTACTGCGCTCAAAAGAAGGTATTTGAGATCCTTATCGTGCGCATTATTCACGTCACGTCTGAAGTATTCAAGGTATAGTAGAAACTGCCCATCAATTTCACGTCTTGGCATCGCATCGCATTGCCCGAACGAGCCAGCGAGCGAGCCCCGCATCGAGTGCTCGCCCACAAGGCACAAACGCGCGTTCCTCTCATACCATACCCATGGATACATGGATATTTCCCTGAACGCTGGACCTCCTACCCCGTACCCTGGACCCGCTGTTAGTGGCGTTTTACGATGTTAGATTGCGCCGAATCCTGCTACTAAATTTTTGTCTGGGCGAATATTCAGGGGCGATGACGGGTTATTGTGGGTGTTATGACAGACTGGTTTGTCCTCGTCGATTGTCCTCGGACTGGACCACAGATTTTGAGCAATTATAGGCTGAAACTTTTATATGTCGCAACGCAACGCAACACAACGCGGGCAGGCTTCAAGTGTTCCGTTCCCCCCCTCCCATCGAAGGCTCGCTTCGGCTCTGGTCGTTCGTAGAAGCTCATTTATAAGCGGCTGCAAAAGTCTTGCAAGATTGCACATGACCGCCCGAAGGCAGGGCTCCATTAAGAGATGAGGCAGAAATACCGGCGTCGAGTCTGGCACGGGCTAGTGTTCATAATTTTCTGTACACGACCAAAGAAAAGGGTGCACTGCTGCTGCAACGGCAGTCATTGACGAGCAGAGATCGGCAAATATGTTAGGAATTTGTTTTCGTTGCTTTCCAATGGCGAGGGAGCCATTGTACTCCCAACTGGGATACTGGATGCATTCGAACGTCTTGCTGGTTTGCTGCTAAAGTGCCAAAGTACACTTCCAATGCTTTACTTTTGTCATATGTTAGATGCAAGATCTATGTATAACGATGTCTGCACCGGTGTAGAATGTTTTCAGAGTAGAAACATCGACAATAACGACACAGGTCAGCGTTTCCTTAGGCGTGGAAGAAGCTGGGGCCGATCGGAGGCGATGCCGGTTCTAAAGCTTGAGCACTGGAGCGATTGCAGATTTCGCCGCGAAGGTTAATATAAAGCAAAAACAAAACAGGGGAGAGCAACCCGTGTCAAAACTGTAAGAATAAAATATATTCTTCTCAAGTTCTTGGGTGATTTTCGTACACCCTTGCGTTGTGTTGTGGTCCGTGAATATCTAAAATATAAGCCAAAAACTATAGAAATTCGTATACTTATTATAAACTAAATATTAAAGAGTGCAAACAAAATAAAAATAAATAGATTAAATTTAAATTAAATTTATATTGACTGGACCATCGTTAAGAGTACACAAAATGTGACTCTATGGTCGCATACCCAGTGGAACAGAGGTA